CACAGATCCACAGGAGTGAGCACAGCAGTGCGAGACTTGCCCAAGGGTCGCCACTCCAAAACGAACCCTCGGGCCACCCCTATTCCTCGTCCCTGGGCGCTGCGTCCCGCACCGACGTCAAGTGCTTCTGGATCTGCGCCCTCTTCCTCAACTTGTCCGTCACCTCCTCGTCCGCGAGAGCGTCCTTGATGGTGTCGTGAGATGTCAGCCTCAAGTACTCCTCACCTAGCGACCAGTCGACCTTGGACTTCCACTTTGCCCCGCTAGCATTGCGAGGCCTTTTCCAATCATGTTCGCACGTCACGCCCTCGTAGGCCTTCATGATCGCATACATCCTGAGGCAACTCAGCTCGCTGGCCTGGGAGTTGATCAAGCCCTTGAAGTCGCCTGAGACCATCATGCGGTCCAACGTCATGGCCAGCACCAGCATCTCGTTGGCGATGGGAGCCTTTGAAAGCTCCTTGCTCCTCAGCCACTCCTGAACCTCGAGCTTCGCGGACCGCCCCCCCCTGTAGATCTTGCTCAGCACCGTCGGGGCCACCCGCGTCCTGATACCCCCCACACGCATGTTGGGGACGTGCTCGTAGCTCTTCAAGGTCTGCAGGAGGGCGTCCCTGGGATTCTTACTCTCCATCTCCAGCTGAGCGATCGTGCCCGAGACTGACCCAGACCCTGGTGATGATGGCAGCCGCTCCCAGCTCGAGTCCGAGGCGGACTTGCCAGCCTCACGTCCACTGCCTCTCGCACCACGGTCCGGGTCACTCTTCACCAACTCCTCATGCCCATTCAACTTGGCAATGAACTGGTCCGGCTGCGCAGTCGTCGGAGTAGCCTCGTCGGCGGACCCGACGTGACCCCCCGTAGCCTTGCTCGGAGGCTCCGCCCTGTCCTTCTTCAGCGCCGCTGTGACCGCCATCAGTCCAGCCCGTAGTTCTTCCTGTCCACGCCGCAGCTCCGCATAGAGACCCTTCGCGTCGGGCTCGTCGTCTGAGTCGGGCACCGCGGTGCCCATGATCAGCTCCCCGTCTGACACGTCGGACTCGGAGTCGGAGTCCGAGAGGCCCTGCCACTGGCGGAAGACGTAGTTCAGCAAGAACACCCCGAAGATCACGCCTCCGCCCGCCATCAGCGCGGCCTCCAACTCCCCCGACTCCCAGGCCTCCAGCAGGAGGCCCCAGTAGTCGGACACCTCCTCCGCCGTCTCCTTCGCGGCCGCTGCCGCCTCGAACACCCTGTGGAAGAGAGGCCCCAGGTGGAAATACCTCCAGATGCGCCAGGCGGCGAAAGCACCCCCAGCGAGCCCACCCCAGGAGCGATGAAGCCACCCGTAGCAGACCAGGTTCGAGCACATGGCCCACACCCAGTTCACCAGGCCCGCCTTCTTCGAGGTCTTCCGCTTCCCGCCCAGCTTCCAGAAGCCCTTCTTCTTGTCGGCGGCCTTGGCCACCTTGACGTTCTCGGCGCCCAGCTCCTTCCGTGCAATCAGCCTCGAAGAGGCCGCCAGCACCATGTCCCGAGTCTTGTCGTTCAGCCCTGGGAAAGCCGTCCACTGGCTGATGCCGCGTGGCGGCTTGCTGTGCACCGATTGCTTATCCTTCAAGCATATGATCTGCACCCTGAGCGACGGGTCCACACACGTCCACGTTTGGTCGCTGGCCTTCCCCACCCGCTCGACCAACAGCATGACCACGCCCGCGCTCTGCCCCTTGGGCAGGTAGTAGATCCTGTTCCACTGCGCCCAGCCCCCCATGACGAGCGGGCTGCTCCCAACGATCTTGGTCTCCTCCGCAGCGTCGATGAGCTCGACCTCCTCGACTGAGGCGGGGCCCTCCGCCTCAGTCTCCTCGACGTCGTCCTCGCCCTCGCTCTCGAAGCGCAGGCCGAGGAAGTCCAGGACCTGGTCCTGGCTGAACCTGCTCCCCACGGCCAGGGCCTCCTCCTGGAGGTCGCCCGAGAGGCCCAGGAGCGCCAGCAGCGCGCCCGCGAGCGCGCAAGGCCGCGGAATGGCGCCGCGGTGGGAGGCCGTTCCCAGGCACGACCGCAGAGGGGCCCGCCTGCGGGCCTCGCCCGTGCCGGCTTGAGTCCAGAGGGGCAGAGGGGGGCGGAGGGGGAAAGGGCGGCTAACAGACTACGACGGGTAGTGTAAAATAAAGTTCAAGAACAACTAGTAGGGCAATCGTCCCCAACCAGGGTTTCTTCATGCGTCTGTAGCCTTGCTTTGCATAAATGATGTTGTCTGGTGTCTTGTTCACGCCTGTTCCACGTGACTTTGGCGTTGTCCCCGCAAGCGTGCCATGCTGCACCGTCTTAGGTCGGTCTGCGATGCATTCTGATGTTTGTGGAGTATTCTTACATGGATGGCCATGCAGTAGCATGCTGTGTTACGGTATCATGTGCGAGTGTATACAATGTTGTGCAGCGCCGTGTTGAACCATGCTGCGCTATGTTACGCAACGCCGTGCTAACTATGCAACGCTGCGTTCGCTACGCATGTGGTATGCTCCGCCTCGTCCGTCGCACCATGTTGTTACGCCGTGATATGCTAGGCGGTGCTGTGCTTTGCATTGCTCTGCGCCTCATTTCGATGCATTGCGGGTATATGCCTGGAGCAAATGGATGTGCTTCACATCTTCAGGAAGCTCTTGGGCCAGTGGGTGATCACGGGCTCCACTCCGGCCCCCCACTGGACTGTCTTGGGGCGCTCTCGGGCCCTTGGCGGATTATCCAAAGACGCTTCTGGGCCGCACTGGGGTCTTCTCATTGCCAGGTTGGGGTCATCTGGAGCCGCTGTTCTGCCCTCGTGGACTATCTAGAGCCCACGAGGTCTCCGAGACGCACTGTTGCGCAGGCCGCCTTGCGCGCAAAACAGACAGCGGCCGCGGCGACGCCGATAGTGAGCCCTGCTCCAGGCGGACAGGAGTTGCTGATAGTAACAATAAGAAGAAGAATGATGATAACAACGGGAGTCAGGGGCCTGGGCCTTGGGCCCCCCGCTTTCCCAAAATTTCCCCCCCCCCCCCCCACACACAACCCACTTTCGTCCCTTGCCCCGCTCCGGCGCTCCTTTTCGAATGCTCTAGGGCGTTCCCGGCGCCTCTAAGAGGCCTCGAGAGCGCTCCGAGGCTCCGAGGGGACCTCCAAAAGGGCCACAAGAGAGCCCCAAGATGCCCAAATCATGGATTTTCCGTGTGTTTTTCAATGTGTGTCGCGTTGTCCTGTTTTCAGAAGTCCGACGTTCCGAAACTTTCAAAAAGCTTCCAACTTCGCCCACAGAGGGCCCAAGAGGTCCCCCAAGCGGTCCCCAAGACGGCGGCCCAAGAAGGCCCACAAACAGCCAAAAAGGCGCCCAAGACGGCCCAAGAGGGCCTCAAGGGCGGCCCCAAGAGGGGCCCAAGAGGGGGAACACGAATCGACAATTCCAGCTTTCCGCCCCGAGAGGTCCCCAGGAGGCTCCAAGAGGCCCAAGAGGTTCCCAAGAGGCCCAAAAGAAGAGGCCCCAAGAGGCTCCCAAACGGCCACCTGGTAGATGGACAAGTGTGTGACGAGCCGGCGTTGCTGCCGAGGCTCGCAACGCGTTCGGTCGGGGATCCTTTTCCAGCGCGATGCTAGAAATCTTAAGTCTTGAGCCAGATCGTGAGCACCTCGCAATGCATCTTTGGAAGGCGGCGTTACCGCTAAAATCCCGGGGATATTGAAACAGATGGCAGCGCAAGCGCAGAGCTGAAAGGCACAATGCGGGAACAGACAATAGCCCAGAATCTGAGAGTGCCACCAGTTACAGAGTAGGCCAGATTAGGCCTTGTGCTGGGAGAAATGCATTGAAATAGCTGCAACACAATCCCACTAAGTGGGATACGGAAAAGCCGGTGGTGGGCATGCAGATTCCATGGAGAATGCTCTAGATTTCAGAGGATTAGGGACTGACGTGGCTTCCAGACTACCGCCGCATGCAAGCGGACAAATCCTGCCCCCCCGAGGCCAACTTAGAAAACATATAGCTTGTCCCGGCCGCGTGGCCGATGGACCGGGGGCTACCTGTGACAGTTATTGCCGGGCAGCCTGAGGAAGGGGGGGGAATTCGTTATTTTTGCATTTCCCCGTAAGAAGTCTGTGTGGCAATCTAAACGGTCGCCGGCCGGGGCTTGCCGACCGGCCGAAGGATCGATTGCGAGAGGGAGGAGGAGGAGGAGGAGGAGGAGGAGGAGGAGGAGAAGGACGAGGAGAAGGACGAGCTGGTGCGCTAGCGTCACATGGATGTTTACCGACGGCGGAATAGCGGCATCCAGTACTTATTTTGTGTACCTTGTCCCTGCGATCTCTGAGGTTTCGGGAACCTTCGGGGTCGTACGGCCTCTTGCGTTATTGTGCATTTGATTGCATTGTCTTTCACTTGGTTGCTTTCCTACGGATGTGCGCAGCATGGCTCCGCAAACGGCATTACGCTGGTGAGCATTGCTCTGCTTTGCATTTAATTGTATTGCATCGCATTGCCTTGCCTTTCATCTGCTTTTCAAGCTTTTGCTTGCAATGCTTCTCGCTGCATGGCGCTCGCATCTGGTTGTCATGGCACTGCGTTGCATTGCAGTGCCACTGTGGGCACTCCATTCTGAACATCCTCTTCGCTGCTCTGCATTGGTTCGCATTGCATTGTATGGGTATGCCATTGTCTGTGATTGATCTCTGTTCGGTCCTCGTTTTTATTGACGCTTAGGTGTGCCTCATGTTCATGCCCTTTGTGGGCAACTGTTTCAGAGGATCTGTGAACTTGTCACGGCCTGGAGCTTGCTAGAACCTAAGCGCGCGCGCGAAGCGCGCGCGTGGTTCTAGTTGATTTGTAACGAGCGTCGCACCCTCCACAGGGGGAAGTGCGCAACTTTCGCAGACAGGCTGGTCCTCTGTCCCTACTGTCAAGAGGTCCGTAGTCATTTTGGCTCAAGCCAGCTTGGAGTCTCGCAGCCTCACACCCCTCGGCTGCTAGAAGCCCGCCCTGCCGCGGAGGGATGGCGCCAGCGCCGCTTGCCGCTGCCCTGTTCCTGGGATCGCTGCTGTCGCTGGCGAACGGGCACGCGTACATCACGCAGCCCGCGATGCGCGGAGGCGCGTTCAACCAGCCGCTGAACGGGTACTGCCCGCAGTGCCTCGGCTCCTCCAGCCTGCCCCTGCCCACCTGCGGCCAGCGCAAGTTTCTGGACGTGTCCGGTCCCGTGACAGAGCTGCGCGCCGGGGAGTTGGCCGAGTTCGCGATCCGCATGACGGCGCACCACAAGGGGCACTTCGTCTTCAGACTTTGCGACAGGCATCTCGACGGCACTTCTGGCGGGTTCCAGGCGGAGGAGGCCTGTCTCAACGAGCACGTCCTGAAGCGCGCAAGGCCGGAGGAGGTGCACTCGGACTGCGGCCCGAACGACAGTCGCGGCGACTGCCAGCCATACGACGAGGCCAACCCCGGCTACTGGTACCTGCCTCCTCCCGGCCAGTCCGAGTACAGGTTCCACTACTGGATCCCCAGCAACCTCACTTGCCAGAGCTGCACGCTGCAGTGGTGGTGGATGAGCGCCAACAGCTGCACGCCGCACCGCGACGCCTACGCCTGCTACTTCAGGGAGATGGCCAGGAGCGGCTGGAACGCCGTCGCGTGGTGGGGAGGCGCCAGCGCCTCTGCCAACTGCCCCGCCGTGCAGGCGCCCCCCAGGGAGTGCGGCGAGCAGTTCAAGAACTGCGCTGACGTACGCGTCGTGGACGGCAGCGGCACCTTCGCGCCCACGCCGCCGCCGGCCCCCACGCCGCCGCCCACGCCTGCGCCCACGCTCGCTCCTGGCGCCGGCTGCGTGCACCAGACCGACTGCTCGCGCAGCGCCTGGTGCAACGACCCCAAGTTCACCACCTGGTGCCCGGGCCACCCGGCCAGCAACTGCCCGTCCCCCCACTGCACGGTGAGCGGCGGCCGCCCTGGCCAGGCGCCGACGGCCGCGCCGACCGCGCGCCCCACCGCGCCGCCGACGCAGGCTCCGTCCACGACTTCGGCGCCCAGGCCGACGCTGCCGTCGCCGGCGACATCGTCAATCACTCCCACGACGACCGGCAGCGCGCAGCCGCCGACTCTGCCGTCGTCGACGGCGGGCCCGCCGTCCCCCACGGTGTCGCCGATGCCCTCGCCGGCGCCATCTTCGACGCCAGCGCCATCGCCATTGCCATCGCCGGCGCCATCCCCGGCGCCCCCCGTAAGCATTGCTTGCACCGAGTGCGCTGCGACGCACCCCGGTGCAGCTTGCGTCTGGCCGACGGGGCAGTGCTACAGGGTGCTGGAGGACATCTGCGCGCACTTCCAGGGCACCTGGTGCGGTGGGGCGTCCCCCACGGCGTCGCCGCTGCTCTCGCCAGAGCCAACTGCGACGCCAGCGCCATCGCCGGCGCCATCCCCGGCGCCCCCCGTGAGCACTGCTTGCACCGAGTGCGCTGCGACGCACCCCGGTGCAGCTTGCGTCTGGCCGACGGGGCAGTGCTACAGGGTGCTGGAGGACATCTGCGCGCACTTCCAGGGCACCTGGTGCGGTGGCGCGTCCCTGGCGGAGTCCGGGCGGACCAAGACCAAGCGCCACCACGCGTTTCTGGGCGTCGCACTGCTTCAGGCGCCTGCCCTGGAGCTGAGGCAGCACGGGGTGTTGTGAGGGCCACTGTGGGCAATTTTTGATGTTGTTCGACGCGCGCGGCATCGGCGCCCAAGCAGCGCCGAGGCGTGGACTGCGCCGGCCCCTGCCAGGAAAGGTGATGTCCTGGCAGAGGGGGGGCGTGGGCACTTCCACAGTCGCCGACGTCATCATTTGGCGCGCTTCCGCAGGCCAGTGTTTCAGCAAGAGCGCCTCGGAGGCACGACCCGCACCAGACGGGGCGCCCTTTCCAGCATTTCTAAGCGCATGGGGTTTTTCTCCCACCCGAAGGAGTAGTCACGTTATGCGAACAGCCAACACACAAGTCAACCAACAAAATGTCAAGAGGCATGTGCTGGCCCAGACACTGCGAACGTCGACCTCGAGGCCTCGGCCCTCCCCCCTCTCCCCCTGCTCCTCCTCGCCAGAGCACGGTCGGCGACGTCGACCAGCGCGCCCGCCTGCCAGTCACAGCGACAGTCGCTCGGCCGGGCGAGCACGTCCACGCAAGGAAGGGCCCCGCGGCTCGCGCGCATCGGCGCGCTCGCCTCGCGGGGCTCGCGCAGCGGCGGATGCCGCTGCGGCCCGGCGCGGCGGCGACCGAGGGGGGAGGAGCAGGGGGCGCACTGATAAGATCATTTGCTCTCGGGCCCCAGGGCCCTCGAAAATCGATCTGGGGCGAAACACCTCGTCGGATGGGCCCGCGGATGGGGTCCAGACACCGATTTTGGCGGATTTTTGGCGGCGCGCCGGGGGGGGGGATGGAAGGCCTTCTCATAAGGCGGCAGGGCCTCTCAGAAACCCTCTGGCCCTCTTGCAAGTTTTCCGCGTTTTCGGGCAAGGCTTGGAAAACTTCTCAGAAGGCCATTGGACTTCCTAGCCGTCTGAGAAGGCCTTCTCCATCTCGCTCCCCCACTCGGGCTCGCCGCCGACCGATGGCATCCGAACCTCGAAGAAAAACAAAAAGAAAACAGTCGAGGATCTTGGATCTGCGAACGAAAGCAAACACGAAACCGACAAACTGCGGACTGGGGGGCCGCATTCGCGCGCGCGGTTGGGCCATGCCTTCCGCATTCCGATGGCCAAGTGGCTCTCGGAGGGGTCTTGTGTGCTCTTGCGCGTCCTCTCCAATCAGCCTTGACTATACACATAAACTGTCAGAACTCCGCGCGGCGCCCCGGCGGCGCCCTCCGGCGCAGCTCCTGGCGCGCCAGGGGGCGGCGCCAGCGCAGGTCCAAGAAATCGGAGCGGACCTCCGGAAGTTCATGCTTATGCAGCGGTTGGTTCCCCCAGAAGTGCCACAAGCCTGGCCCTCAGCCCCCCGCCGATAAATCAAGCCGCGCAGGGGCGGCTGGCGAAGAGCAGGCTGAGCCACGCGTGCAGCTTGCTGCGCATAGGCGCATAGTGTTAAAGCATAACCTGGCCTTGGGATTGGAAAGGACTGAAGTTTCTTCGCGAGTCGATGTTGTTCTAGAGCTTTGCGTTCTCCTCATAATCCGTTTTCATCGCTGGGATGCTTCGATGTTTGATGAGGCGGGGTGGGAATTGAAACTGCTGAACATGTGTAGGTCACCCCCAGGTGCGCGAAGAGAATCGTGCATCGCGCGTCGCGGCCTCGTCATGAGAGCTGCCCCTCTCCAGGGTGGCCTCGTGAGGGCGCGAAGATGACTGCGGGCCGCGAATCGTCATCGTGGGCCGCGATTCGCGAGCTTAGGTGACCTGGAGACTCTTCGCGAGTCAATCTTGCGTTGGAGCGTTCGCGTTGTCCTTTGGGTGACGGTGGGACTAGAGTCCGAAACCATCTCGGGAAGGATTCGAGCTCTGATGCTTTCGCACTACATTTGAGTATGTCGCATCTCAATGAAGGCACGACGCCGCGCAGTTCCGATAGGCATCTTGACAGGTGAACTCGGCATCGTAAATACTCAGTAGGGCAATCGTCCCCAACCAGGGTTTCTTCATGCGTCTTTAGACTTGCTTTGCATAAGTGGTGTTGTCTGGTGTCTTGTTCACGCCTGTTCCACGTGACTTTGGCGTTGTCCCCGCAAGCGTGCCATGCTGCACCGTCTTAGGTCGGTCTGCGATGCATTCTGATGTTTGTGGAGTATTCTTACATGGATGGCCATGCAGTAGCATGCTGTGTTACGGTATCATTTGCGAGTATATGCAATGTTATGCAGCGCCGTATTGAACCATGCTGCGCTGTGTTACGCAACGCCGTGCTAACCATGCAACGCTGCGTTCGCTACGCATGTGGTATGCTCCGCCTCGTCGGTCGCACCATGTTGTTACGCCGTGATATACTAGGCGGTGCTATGCTTTGCATTGCGCTGCGCCTCATTTCGATGCATTGCGGCTATATGCCTGGAGCAAATGGATGTGCTTCACATCTTCAGGGAGCTCTTGGGCCAGTGGGTGATCTCGGGCTCCACTCCGGCCCCCACTGGACTGTCTTGGGGCGCTCTCGGGCCCTTTGCGGATTATCCAAAGACGCTTCTGGGCCGTACTGGGGTCTTCTCATTGCCATGTTGGGGTCATCTGGAGCCGCTGTTCTGCCCTCGTGGACTATCTAGAGCCCACGAGGTCTCCGAGACGCACTGTTGCGCAGGCCGCCTTGCGCGCAAAGCAGACAACGGCCTCGGCGACGCCGATAGTGAGCCCTGCTCCAGGCGGACAGGAGTTGCTGAGAATCACAAGAATAAGAATGATGATAACAACGGGAGTCAGGGGCCTGGGCCTTGGGCCCCCCGCTTTCCCAAAATTTTCCTCCCCCCACAACCCACTTTCGTTCCTGGCCGCCGGCACTGGCGCTCCTTTTCGAACGCTCCAGGGCGTTCCCTGCGCCTCTCAGGGGCCTCGAGAGCGCTCCGAGAGGACCTCCCAAAGGGCCACAAGAGAGCCCCAAGATGCCCAAATCATGGATTTTCCGTGTGTTTTTCAATGTGTGTCGCGTTTTCCCGTTTTCAGAAGTCCGACGTTCCAAAACTTGTTCAAAAAGCTTCAACTTCGCCCACAGTGGGCCCAAGTGGCCCCCCAAGTGGCCCCCAAGACGGCGGCCCAAGAGGGCCCCCAAACGGCCCAAAAGGCGCCCAAGACGGCCCAAGAGGGCCTCAGGGCGGCCCCAAGAGGGGCCCAAGGGGGGGAACGCGTCGACAATTCCAGCTTTCCGCCCCAAGAAGTCCCCAGGAGGCTCCAAGAGGCCCAAAAGAGGTTCCCAAGAGGCCCAAAAGAAGAGGCCCCAAGAGGCTCCCAAACGGCTCCCTGGTAGATGGACAAGTGTGTGTGACGAGCGGGCTTTGCTGCCGAGGCTCGCAACGCGTTCTGTCGGGGATCACTTTCCAGCGCGATGCCAGAAATGTTAAGTCTTGAGCCAGATCGTGAGCACCTTGCAATGCATCTTTGGAAGGCGGCATTGCCACAAAAATCCTAGGGATATCGAGACAGATGGCAGCGCAAGCGCAGAGCTGAATTGGACAATGCGGGAACAGACGATAGCCCAGAATCTGAGAGTGCCACCAGTTCCAGAGTAGGCCAGATTAGGCCTCGTGCTGGGAGACATGCATTGAAATAGCTGCAACACAATCCCACTAAGTGGGATGCGGGAAAGCCAGTGGTGGGCATGCAGATTCCACGGAGAATGCTCCAGAGTTCAGAGGATTAGGGCCTGACGTGGCTTCCAGACTACTGCCGCATGCGAGCCGACAAATCCTGCCCCCCGAGGCCAACTTAGAAAACATGTAGCTTGTCCGTTCCGCGTGGCCGATGGACGGGGGGCTCCCTTTGAATCAATGCCCGGCAGCCTGAGGAGGGGGGGGAATTCGTTATTTCTGCATTTCCCTGTAAGAAGTCCGTATATGAATCTACACGGTCGCTGGCCGGGGCCGGCCGACCGGCCGGAGGATCGATTGCGAGAGGGAGGAGGAGGAGGCGGAGGAAGAGGAAGAGGAGGAGGAGGAGGAGGAGGAGGAGTGGGAATGGGAATGCCTGAAGACTAAGTCTTACAAATCCATGCTACTCCGCTCTCTGACCACCTCCAGCGACACGAGAAGGAAGAGGACGGCGACCATGCTAGACTCCACGCGCTGCATGTAGGCTGCACAATGTGGGCGGCAGACCGACTTGGAGACAATACCGGAGGAGGGGAAACCCCGTGCGCATCCCAGGGACGATTTCACGACCTCTTCGGTAAGACAGCCTGTACGGGCGACTGCAGCCACGACCGATTGAAGCACGTACCCCGCGCTCATGGATGCCAGCAAGCCACGAAGCCCACTTTCAAGCAGGGGAGTAACACGACTCCCGCGTACACCAAATAGCGAAACCTCCAAACCATTGCCAGAAACATGCGCAAGTGACTGATAAGGATATGCAACACTGCACTCACAAATGGCCACAACCTTGCAAGATGCAGAGCAGTACAGATGCCGATCACCAGAGCTTTCACACTATGGGGACGAGGAGAAGGACGAGCTGGCGCGCTAGCGCCATCGACGGCGGAATAGGGCCATCCAGTATTTATTATGCGTACCTTATCCCTGCGATCTCTCAGGTTTCGGGAACCCTCGGGGTCGTACGGCCTCTTGCGTTATTGTGCATTGGATTGCATTGTTTTTCACTTGGTTGCTTTTCTACGGATGTGCGCAGGCATGGTTCCGCAAACGGCATTGCGTTGGTGAGCATTGCTCAGTTTTGCATTTAGTTGTATTGCATCGCCTTGCCTTGCCCTTCATTTGCTTTTCAAGCTTTTGTTTGCAATGCTTCTCGCTGCATGGCGCTCGCATCTGGTTTTCATGGCACTGCGTTGCATTGCAGTGCCATTGTGGGCACTCGATTCTGAACATTCTCTTCACTGCTTTGCATTGGTTCGCATTGCATTGCATGGGTGTGCCATTGTCTGTAATTGATATATGTTCGATCATCGTTTTTATTGACGCTTCGGTGGTGACGCTTCGGTGTACCTCATGTTCATGCCATTTGTGGGTAACTGTTTCAGAGGATCTGTGAACTTGTCACGGCCTGGAGCTTGCTAGAATGTAAGCTCGCGCGAAGCGCGCGCGTGATTCTATTTCATTTGTAACGAGCGGCGCACCCTCCACGGGGGGAAGTTCGCTACTTTCGCAGGCAGACTGGTCCTCTGTCCCTACTGTCAAGAGGTCCGTAGTCATTGTGGCTCAAGCCAGCTTGCACTCTCGCAGCCTCACACCCCTCGGCTGCTAGAAGCCCGCCCTGCCGCGGAGTGATGGCGCCAGCGTCGCTTGCCGCTGCTCTGTTGCTGGGATCGCTGCTGTCGCTGGCGAACGGGCACGCGTACATCACGCAGCCCGCGATGCGCGGAGGCGCGTTCAACCAGCCGCTGAACGGGTTCTGCCCGCAGTGCCTCGGCTCCTCCAGCCTGCCCCTGCCCACCTGCGGCCAGCGCAAGTTTCTGGACGTGGCCGGTCCCGTGACAGAGCTGCGCGCCGGGGAGTTGGCCGAGTTCGCGATCCGCATGACGGCGCACCACAAGGGGCACTTCGTCTTCAGACTTTGCGACAGGCATCTCGACGGCACTTCTGGCGGGTTCCAGGCGGAGGAGGCCTGTCTCAACGAGCACGTCCTGAAGCGCGCAAGGCCGGAGGAGGTGCACTCGGATTGCGGCCCGAACGACAGTCGCGGCGACTGCCAGCCATACGACGAGGCCAACCCCGGCTACTGGTACCTGCCTCCTCCCGGCCAGTCCGAGTACAGGTTCCACTACTGGATCCCCAGCAACCTCACTTGCCAGAGCTGCACGCTGCAGTGGTGGTGGATGAGCGCCAACAGCTGCACGCCGCACCGCGACGCCTACGCCTGCTACTTCAGGGAGATGGCCAGGAGCGGCTGGAACGCCGTCGCGTGGTGGGGAGGCGCCAGCGCCTCTGCCAACTGCCCCGCCGTGCAGGCGCCCCCCAGGGAGTGCGGCGAGCAGTTCAAGAACTGCGCTGACGTACGCGTCGTAGACGGCAGCGGCACCTTCGCGCCCACGCCGCCGCCGGCCCCCACGCCGCCGCCCACGCCTGCGCCCACGCTCGCTCCTGGCGCCGGCTGCGTGCACCAGACCGACTGCTCGCGCAGCGCCTGGTGCAACGACCCCAAGTTCACCACCTGGTGCTCGGGCCACCCGGCCAGCAACTGCCCGTCCCCCCACTGCACGGTGAGCGGCGGCCGCCCTGGCCAGGCGCCGACGGCCGCGCCGACCGCGCGCCCCACCGCGCCGCCGACGCAGGCTCCGTCCACGACTTCGGCGCCCAGGCCGACGCTGCCGGCGCCGGCGACATCGTCAATCACTCCCACGACGACGGGCAGCGCGCAGCCGCCGACTCTGCCGTCGTCGACGGCGGGCCCGCCGTCCCCCACGGCGTCGCCGATGCCCTCGCCGGCGCCATCTTCGACGCCATCGCCATTGCCATCGCCAGCGCCATCCCCGGCGCCCCCCGTGAGCACTGCTTGCACCGAGTGCGCTGCGACGCACCCCGGTGCAGCTTGCGTCTGGCCGACGGGGCAGTGCTACAGGGTGCTGGAGGACATTTGCGCGCACTTCCAGGGCACCTGGTGCGGTGGCGCGCCCCCCACGGCGTCGCCGTTGCTCTCGCCAGAGCCAACTCCGACGCCAGCGCCATCGCCGGCGCCATCCCTGGCGCCCCCCGTGAGCACTGCTTGCACCGAGTGCGCTGCGACGCACCTCGGTGCAGCTTGCGTCTGGCCGACGGGGCAGTGCTACAGGGTGCTGGAGGACATCTGCGCGCACTTCCAGGGCACCTGGTGCAGTGGCGCGTCCCTGGCGGAGTCCGGGCGGACGAAGACCAAGCGCCACCGCGCGTTTCTGGGCGTCGCACTGCTTCAGGCGCCTGCCCTGGAGCTGAGGCAGCACGGGGAGTTGTGAGGGCCACTGTGGGCCATTTTTGATGTTGTTCGACGCGCGCGGCATCGGCGCCCAAGCAGCACCGAGGCGTGGACTGCGCTGGCCCCTGCTAGGAAAGGTAATGTCCTGGCAGAGGGGGGGCGTGGGCACTTCTACAGACGCCGATGTCATCATTTGGCGCGCTTCCGCAGGCCAGTGTTTCAGCAAGAGCGCCTCGGAGGCACGACCCGCACCAGACGGGGCGCCCTTTCCAGCATTTCTAAGCGCATGGGGTTCTTCTCCCACCCGAAGGAGTAGTCACGTCATGCGAACAGCCAACACACAAGTCAACCAACAAAATCTCAAGAGTCAACCAACAAAATGTCAAGAGCGCCAACAGCTACACGCCGCACCGCGACGCCTACGCCTGCTACTTCAGGGAGATGGGCCGTCTCGCAGGCTGCCGCAGCCGGTTTGGGTTGACGGAAACTTAACACCAAGAGCAGTCAAACAAGTGGGGGCGATCGGTGATCTAGGCCTTCGAGCCCTCGTGAGGAGGTCCTGTTGGAGATCTCTTGGGCCGCATCTGATGCCTGCGAGGCCGCTTTTGGGGCCACCTTGGGTTGTCTTGGACGCCTTTTGGTCCATCTTGGCTGCCTTGGAAGCCTGCCTGGGCTGTCTTGGGGGCCACCTTTGGGAGTCCTGGAGGCCTTGGAGGGGCTCAGGGAAACGCCAGATATCTCAGGGATCCTCAGGACGGAAAGGCGATGCACGCGGGGGGGCCCCGCGAGAGGGGGGGGCGGGTTCCTCAGACGACTTCCTATCAGATTGCACGTGGCCTTCTGCTACGACTCCTCAATGTGCCAGAGGGCATTGCGGCGGATCATTTGAGGGGGTCTACTCGTCCGCACACGTCAATCTGACCCCTGGCAGTGGGGCCCCCGATCATGGCTCCTGGCGCCGTTTCCGTGGAGTCTGCTGAATCTGGTGACAAGTTTGGTGAGAATCCAGTGCGATTGGCGCGGGCCCTCGCGCCCCCCCCTCCCCCCCCATGGAGTGGATCTTGGCTGTTTTGGGCGCCTGTTTCGAGCAGGTGGAGTCTCCAACGTAACGGACGCCCTGTTGCAAACAGTCGCGCTAAGCAGGGGTCCGCAGCCAGACCCCCCCCTCCCTCCCCCTTCCACCGGATGTCGAACCGCCGAATAATAAACCCTCACATCCCAGGAGGTGGTGTTTTCGCCGAGGAGGTCCTCGCAACTTCGGCTTCCAAATAGGCACTGAGGCTCCCGGCTCCGCCCGGCTCCGCCCCGTGCACGTGCGCCCCCCCCCGCCCCATCCCTCGAGGAGAGCGCGCGGCAGGGCGAGAGGCTGGACGCCGCAGTCGCCGCCGTGAGGGAGCTGCGCGCCGGGGCGCCGGCTGCGGATGCCCACGGCGCAGCCATCGCGGACCTGCGGGAGGACCGCTGGCGCGCCTGGGGGCCTGCTGCCGTGGCTGGTCGCTGCCGTCCGTCGTCGCTGCCAGTGGTTTTCCTTGTGTGCCTCGGGGGCGTCGGGTCCTTGCTGTTCTCGTGCTCCTGCAGTGCAGTGGAGACCCATGCCAAGAAACATTCTGCTTGCCTCCAGGGTGCACTGGGTTTCTCGGGTCTCGGTGGTCTTGCTGTGGAAGGCGCACACCAAAAATCAACGGACGTCCTGGGTCAAGGGAGGAAAAACCACTCGGACCAGACAAATGGCGTTTTCTAAACGGCCTTGGGCGTCTACTAAACAGCCCTGCCCTGTTCGATTTCTTCAGTGGGGCCGTTTAGTAAACGGCTTCGCGTGTCGGGGTGGTTCTTTTTGGGGTGGATTTTTTGGTCTCTACTGGGGTCTCAGGATTGGGCTTCTTGTGGAAGGTCTCTCGTGGTCGAGCCCCCACTGCAAGGCACGCGCGCCCCGAGCGCTCGCATGGGGGCACGTGGGCTCGACAGCCGGAGCTGCTTTCTCTGTGGGTGGCGGGAGGCCTCGGGGCCGCTCGGCAGTGCACACGAGGCAGCGCCCCGCGGGAGATCTTGCAGTGGCTGGCGGCTCTGACGGCCGTCGGCTCTGATGGGCGGCCCCGTGTCGCCGAAGAAGACTCGGGGGCGGCAAAGAGGGTGATGGTGACCAGGTGTGTGTGTGTGTGTGTGGATATCATGGCGGGGGCTACGAGATTTCCCCAGGTTTCGTGGCGCCTCCTCTCGTTTCAAAACGTCCCTGCCCCCCTCCCCCCTGGGCCGCGCACCTGCCCCCGGCCGTGGCTTGCGCCCCCCCTCTTTGACGCCCCCCCCCCTTGGCCGCCCCCGACGGAAAAGCGCCACAAACAGAATCTTTTGGCGCTCCGCGCGGACTTCTTGGATCCGCGCTGGGGCTCCCTGGCCTGCCGAGCCTGCCCGCTGCGGCGGCCCCCGCGCCGGGACCCCCGCCCCGCCCGCCCGTGGGGAGCGCCGGCAGCCCCCGGCGCTCCCGCTCTGGCCGCAGGGCGCTCACCTGGGGGGGGGCAGGGGCAACGATGAGGGAGGAGGAGGGGGAGGGGGAGGAGGAGGAGGAGGAGGAGGAGGAGGAGGAGGAGGAGGAGGAGGAGGAGGAGGAGGAGGATTTTTTTGACATCCACTATCAAAGACCCGCAGAGCGGGCAAAGTGCATCAGAGAGATAATTGTTATAAAACTCCAATGCCGTCCAAATCAACTGTGACCCCATTCCGTTTCGGATGGAGACCTCTGCTGAGTTTGGACCAAAGATCTCTTCTGCGGGATTTGTGGGCGGACCAAAGCTTGTCAGCGTGACCTCTCGCAACCTGCGGGTGGGAGGGATTCGCTGGACAGGGGTCCCCCAAACCGCGAAGCTGTCCTCCACATGTGGAGAAGAAGCACAGCTGGCAGAAGGCCACAAAACTTCCATCGCTGCAGTCTACAATGATGCAGCGGTGACCCAAATCTCTTAGAGACTGAGGCGAAACCTTGAGCTGTTGAGTGCACCTCCCTGGCGGAGGCTTCGAGACAGAACGAGAGCACTTGAGGCACTCGTTGCATTGCCAGAATTTGCCAGCCCAACCCCAGGAATGACCAGGACCCTGAACCCTGGGAGGACCAGGAGCCAGAGGGCGCTCCCAAGAGACCCCGTCCAGGTTGGTCCTGGGCCAAAGGTCCAAGAGGTGGGCGGCAAGGTTGGCGACAGCCTTGGAAACTGAGACCAAAAACGACAGACTGTCCTTGAGGCTGTCTTCAAGAGGCTGGTGAAGGTTCGCTCCTGCCTTCGCCGCCTCATCAGCAAAGTTATTACCACGAATGTTGAAACGCTCTTCCCAGGGGAGGCTGGGATCTTCGGTGAGGTGCGCCTTTACTTTGGAGACACCCTCGAGTCTACCGTCAGCGTTAGCCAGGCACTGCATCACAAGACCACTATAAGGCCTGGCGGGCGAGAGCTGCTGAGCTAAAGGCAGGGCAAATTGGTCGACCACAGCCTTACAATCAGAAAGAAATTCAGCCGTGTGTTCAAGCAAGCACGAGGCGGCAGCAGGAGCGACGAATTCAGCTGCCACGCTCGTCTGAGGATATACGTTACAAACCGTGCCGTACGTACGGACGAGAATCTGACCTTGGTCATTTAGCCAGACCGCGCCCCATCCAGAGCGGGAGAGTTCACGCACGGGGTGTCTAAAGCACGATCCATCCAGGAAAACTTTGCCCCGAACCTCCCTTCGCCCCTCCGGAGGAAGAGGCAGACCAGCTTCCTCAAAAGCATCAGGAAAAAACTCATATACCACCGAATCCTGAGATTCCTGGGCCGACTGAGGGAGGGGAGCCTCAGAGGAAGGGTGAGTGAAGAGCCCAGTTTCACAAAGCACCTTAAAACCAGGGTTGACGCCTGCCTCAAGCTCCTGGCGGACGCGGCTCAACAACTGGGGCTTGATATATTCAGAACGCTCGGCCTCACAAGAAGGGCAATACCAAAGGCGATGGATCAGCGTATCGCCCTCGGCCTGACAGAGAGGGCACTTGTCTTCAACTTGGTATCCCAGGGCCTTGGCACGACTCAAAGGCCAGAAGCCCTGACAAGTGAGAGTTCTAATAATTCCCTTCTGCTTGGGAGTGTACTTCTTCGAATTCAAAGAGGTACACAGCACATCGAAACAAAGCCTAGAACCCTGACCATATTTGTCTCCAGCCTCACATTCAAGAGCTTTGAAAATTGCAGATTTACAGAGTCGCTTGAGGAGGGCAGGAGAGATGAGGAGGAGAGGGATTTCCACACCGCGGTCGTCGGTCAGGATGTATGGGGAACTCATGGTCCATCCCAGTCTTGCAATCGACAAGTACATGGCCCCCAAAGGCCCTTTGACAGATCTCCAGGTCCGAGGGGGATTGTTCCAAACGTTTTCCCAACCCACTCTGATCTGAGCCCAAGAAAGAGTATAATCTGTCATCCGCGTGCGCAGCAGCCATAGCTCTCTATGATAATGGATGAGAGGAGCGACTGACCCATACCAGGCAGGATCACCTTCAACCCGAGTGAGGATACATAGAGAGCGGCCGCCGCAGGATGGCTTCATCGTGGAAGCTGCTAGACGTCGTACTTGTAAAAGCTCGCCGTCAGACATGCCATGCACGTCCGCACCATATTGCAGTGCTGGAAGAGCACCTGCACAGAAAACCTTAGTTGCACGTCTGCCGATGACGCCTCGCTGACGGGCGAGCCTCCGCGTGCGGCGCGTGGCAAACAGCAGGCGGGCCTTAGTCTTGGAGTTGCGTCCACGGACGCGCCTAGAAGCACCAGCAGTATGGTCATGACCGAGGTTGACAGCCGTCTCGAGGTGGGGGCCCACGAGATCTCCGAAGGCCTCCTGGAGCCTACTGGAAATAACCTTACTGCTGGTAACCATGCCAACTTTGTCAAGAGCAATGTGAGCCTTCATAGAGTGAGAGATCGCATGTTCGAGCTGGCTTGCCAACTCCATCGAGGCTGGTGTCATCGATGTAAACATCGAGGGTGACCGAGGGGGGGAGCGAAAGGCTGTCGAAAGCCTCTAACCCGAAGACCCGAATGAGGGTCGTGGCCAAAGAACACCCAGCGACCAAACCGGTGTCAGCGAAGACCCCAGGAGCGACGACACCACTGAGAACGAGGTACCTGCTCGAGCGATAAGCGGCGAGACAAACCCCGATCAGCGTCGGGTGAAAGCTGAGCCGATGACACCTCGCCTCAAGGACGTGCAGCGGGATCAGCTCGTAGAACTTCAAAAGATCCCAAAATATCGAAGCCGCATGCTGGCCAGCCGAGGTGCTGGCCTCAGCGCGAACACTCTGGCGCCACACAATGTCAGTGGCGGACCGATGCTTCCCCGCGGCCCAGTAGGGCCGATCATTCTGGCTTTCCCATTCCAGGGCCCAGGGACGCCGAAGTTTTCCCCAAAGCCTGAAGGGAGACGAGAAAACCCCGATGGGTCGGAAGCCAGGGACCTTCTTGGGGATCAGGGCCACAATGAAGGCCTTCAGTTGCTGGGGAAGCATCGCGCTGATTTCGATCACCTGCAGGAGGAGAGCGAAACACTCCAGGGCCTCGTCGGAGAGGCATTGATAATGGCGCATGTGAAAGCCGTCCAACGCGACGGCAGAACGACGAGAGTAGCTCCTGGATAAGGTTCGTATTTGATCTATGCTAGCAAGGGGAAGGGGATCCAAAACTTTAGTCACATGTCTGGGAGGGCAGGGGGACGCATTCCATAAGGTCCCAAATCGCTTGGATTCCGCTCTCAGGAGCTCCTGCGGGTCCGAGACAATATTCCCAAAGCGGCTGAGGGTGGACGTGGGGCGCCACGCAGCAGGGTCACGGGTGACTTGGTGGACTCGCCTAGCACCCTGATTTATCCCTTCGTTCAACCAAGCCGCCCAGTCTTTCCGAGACTGCTGCTTATACTTGTCATTGCACTTAGCCAAAGCCTGAGAAATAGCCAGACGAGCATCATCAACGTGAGCAGGGTCAAGAACAGGACTTGGAGCTGGTCCAGCACTAGAAACATCAGCTGCACAGGCTGCTTCCAGCCAAAGCGTGCCAATATCAGCAGCCACCTGAAACGTATCCGCAAACTCACCTTGGTGACGCTTGATGAAATCAGGTGGCTGCGCCAGAAGTCGAGCTCGTCGGTCGACCTCGCTGAGCAAAGAAGGGGAGTCCTCCAGAAACTCCATATACGAGGAAGCAAAAGCCTGGAATACCGAGGATAACCATCGCATACTGTGGAGCTCAGGGTAGCGGACCGACCCGCGATCACGACCCAGAACGGGCCGCCACCACGTTTCAGGTCCCCTACCCCTCGACCCGCGGTATGGGAGTGTTATACCCATGATCGAGCAGAGTTCAAGCTCTGCTGTGTTGGCCCAACACTTGTAGGCCTTAGTCAGAAGAGAGTCGAGAACATCGGACTGGCCAGCACGAGCACGCTGCAAAGCTTTCCCGAGGAGGGCCGAGCATTGCT